CTCGAAGCGAGGGCAGGTGGCCATGCAGAGAACTCTCTGGGGCCGCAGGTACCTGCACATACCTCCACCCTGCAACACTCGGCATCCCCTTGACCCCTCGTCTCCGCAGGTTCGACGTCATCCGCACCATCCGATCCCGCTGGCCAGGCCTCATGCTCCCCGTCATCATCCTGTCGGCCTCCTGCTGGGAGAAGGCCGTGGTCGAGGGTCTCCAGGCGAGTGGTGGTGCTTGGGCTCTGGATCGCCGTGCAGGATGCAGGGTTGGTACATGTTGGATGCATTACACCCTGTTTTGCTCATCACAAAGGCCCACCGCGCCACCCAGCATGCCTCTGCGGCAAGCCGGCGTGATTCCTGGGGGTGCGCTGGGCTCCCACAGAAGTACGCTCCATCAAACTGGCGCCCCTACCCTTCCAGGCCGGCGCCAACGACTACCTGCCCAAGCCGTTTGGCTGCTTCGAGCTCATGGCCAGGATCGAGGCCCAGCTGCGCACCCACGAGTTCATGGCCGAGGCCTGTCGCCAGGCCCGGCCTTCGGAGGCCCGGTCCTCCGAGGGAGGGAGTGGGGGCAGCGGGTCAGCCAGCGCCAACGGCGTCTGCTCCCCCGACTCCTCCAGCGACGCGAGCTACAACTGAGCGGGGTGGAGCTGGCAGGGGCCAACATGTCAGCATCTGACTGTGGTACCCTCGGGCGGGGTGCCCGAGGGTACCACAGCCCCCTTCCTTGTGCATCCGTACATTCTGCTGTACCCCCAAACCAACCAAGTACCCTCCTCCATGATTGACTTTTCCATGTACCCCAGCGGCAAGTGCCTGTCACATCAAGGAGCACCCTCAGTGTCCTCCGGATGGTCTTTGCCATGTCCCGAGGCACCACCTTGGCCGCACATCATTCTGTGTGAGTTTTCCAGTCTCTATTCAGCCTCTCAGATTGGCTTTGCCTCTCGCTTGAACCTAGTGCCCGACTCCAGCACGCCAAGCATGTTCTTTTTGCATCCTCCCCCTGGTACCCCCTTCTCCCAGCAAGAATGAGCAGGACGGTTTGCATGCCTCGCAAAGACCGACTCTTTCCTTCTGCGTGTACTCAGCTGTTTGTAAGAGATGACGTGCGTGATTGGGCTCAGCCAGACTGTGTTTCATTGAGTCAATGCAGGTACCTGTTGCATGGAGGCTTGCATGACATGGAGCATGCTGAGCTCTGATTGCGGTTGAAGTGGTGAGCTCACGTTGCAAACCATCTCCAAGCACCTCGTGGCGACCCATACCGTTAACCTCCAGACTCTTCATATCCTGCATTTACCGCGCTACTCTAGCCATGCACTCCATCGCCATCAACCCCACCCCTACCCTTTTCACATCGCACCAGCACCGACTTCACCTGACACCCAGTACGCGAAGCCGCCATGTGGGTCCCCGAAAAGCTGTAGAAGGGTCCCCAGAGCCAACTGAAGAGGTAAATGGTAGCCGTGCTGTTCAATGCGAGCCGGCATGAAGGTCAGCTTGATTGAATCCCCTCGCAAACCTGGACGCCTCATTGGACATCCTCTCACCCTTGCTGCAGAGCGCCACTGAGGGTACCTCCAACCGATGCGAGACGTGCGGTGCTCCTACTGACGCAATTCCTTCTGGGTGAGTCACCTCGCCATTGGAGTGATCTTGCTCACTACTGGCAAGGTTGCCCCACAGCCTCAGTCAGGGTCTCAACCAGCTCCACCTTACCATACCATCCCTCTTACAGCTGTGACCGCATGGGCCGCATAGTGGGTGGCTTGGGCTCAGTGCCTGGCTTCTCCTGGTTTCCACTCAAGGCATACAGGCCCTGCCCAGCAGCCGCACAGGCGGGGGTCCAATACACAAGGTGAGGGAGGGGAAGCTTGCAAGATGCTTGGTGGGAACCCCTTGGGTTGTAAAGTGATCACATCTTTCAATATATAGAAACCTGGTGTTGAAATCTGGAACACTATGCATGATCTACACCACTGAATCTCAGCAGTGATCCTCACTTGCTCTCTGCAGGAAGGGTCAGATCACAGACGATATTTTCAGGCCTTCAAAGTGAGAAGAGTGCAAGACCAACGAGGACCATGTCCAGCATCCATGCCCAGTCGTCCGCTCCCATGTGCCGTTATTGTCCCCCGACCGATGCGCTGAATGTTACGAAGAATTACTCCAGGAAGGAGAGACTGCCAGGAAGTGCTGCCCGCTGGGTAGGATCCGTCGCGATCATGGTTGATACGTTTAAAAGTTCATTCATCACCAAGATCGACATGGCCAGCCTTGTCCGTGGAGCATCTTGTGCACCCCTTGGTGCACAAGTTCTGCATAAAATGGAGTATGGTGCTTGGCAGCTCCATGCCATGGTAGGATCGTGCAGTCTGTGCAAGGGCCCGACCATGCATATCCCATGTCGAACCTCGTCATGCGCGAGTGAACAGAGCACCCCTCGGCTGCACCGATCCCTGGCATTGTCACCGGAATTCAGCAGCCAAGGCTCAGCAAAGAAATTGTGTACCAGCACGGGCCCTTATCTAGGAGGCAGGGACCCGAGCAGGAGGCAGGCCATCAAGCATGCCATGGCAGCCCCTGCAGCCATTCTACTGGCCCAGTTGGCCGCTCCCAGCTCCTCCCACGCCTTCCCCGGCTTCAAGAAGGATCTCACCTCCAAGCGGCGGGTCAAGATCCCCGAGTCCGAATTCAAGGCCGGCCCTGAAGGCCTCAAGTACTACGACGTCTCGCCCGGCAAGGGGCCTGAGGCGCATGAAGGCCAGCGAGTCGTCGTCCACTTTGATGCCAAGTGTGTTTCTGGGGGATGGAACTGGGGTTGGTGGTGTGGCTCTGGCTTTTTGGATGTTGCAAGCCGCATACATTGGTTCTTGGCCGCCTGTTCCATGCTGCCCACTGCCTGCATGTTCCTCTCGAGCAGTGGGCCCCAGCAGTCGACATCACCTCCCCATACCTTCCCACGAAACAGGTGGCGTGGCATCACCTTCATCACCAGCCGGTGCGTCCTCGGTGTCTTTGTGGGGGTCAGGGGTCCTGAATCTCTTGTGCAGGGAGCAGTGACTCAGCCCGGCAGCTGGTGGACTGTCGCCAACACACATCGCACCCACCTCCCTGCAAACCCTCCACACAGCCAGGGGCTGGGGGTGACTGGCGGCAATCCCCTGGGGTTTGATGTGGGCGCGCGGGGCGCTGGCGGGACCCTGAGGGGTCTGGACCTGGGGGTGCGAGGCATGCGGGTGGGCGGCCAGCGCAAGCTCATCGTGCCGCCCAGCCTGGTGGGTGTTGGTGATTCCATTGTTGTACCAGCTGGTGGAGAGGCTACTCCCATATGTAACAGGCCTGCCATTGCGACGGGACGGCACTGCACATGGGTATACCTGCGAGGCCTCGAGGTCACCAGAGGTCTGCACCGGGCACTCCCAGCCGCGTTTTCTGTGCAACCTCCCTCCAACCCCTCTCCCAATCCCTCCCCCACTAAAACATAGGCGTACGGTGACCGGGGCGTTGGTGAGGTGCCGGGGGGCGCCACGCTCGAAATCGACGTGGAGCTGCTGTACATCAAGACCAGCGCCCAGGGTGCCAGGGTCAAGCTTATCGAGGGGTGAGCCCCTTGAGGCCGGCCTAATGCTTGCCACAGGTGGCATGACCCTCTCCGGCGCTGTACAGTTCTGCTGTGTGCTTGCTTGTACATACATCTGAGCCATCGCAGAGAGGGGGTGATGCCCGGAGATGAACGAAGAACTGTGTGCAACTTTCTCAGTCCCACCCACAGTCGCTGGGGCCAGGTGTGGTGGTGTCCACCTGCAGGCACCGGGATCACATGAAGGGCGCCACCTCCTTCTCCCTGAAGGCCAGGTCCTCGGCACAGCCATGCTTCAGCACCAGCCGCCGCACCTCGTCGCCGTTGACGGTGTTCTTCTCCATCAGCAGGTCCGCCACCCTGCGCAGAGGATTTTTTTGTGTATTATGGGGGGGGATGGGTGTGGATGAATGTTATTCATCAGGCCACAGGGTGAGACAGCGCATCCTGGATTTCGTTCGCGAGTGCAGCCGGTGCCGACTTGCGCTGACCACAGCGCACGACGGCGGAGACACACACACGCGCACGCACACCTCCCTGCCAACAAACTCCACCAGTCGCCCCCGTACGCACGCTTCGATGGCCGCAAAGTTGCGGCGCACCATGGCCAGGCTGGCCGTGTAGGCCCTGGTCATGACCTCGGAGATGGTGCGGTCCACCGTCTCCGCCACGTCCACGGGGATGAAGCGGGTGACAAACAGGTCCATCTCGTCGCCGGGCCTGTGGTTGGTAACGAGAGGGGAAGGAACAAGGGTGTCCTGGAGGCACGCAGAGATGGGAGACTGCTGTCTTTCCCAATGGATCATATTCAGTTACCACCCCCTCTCAGAAGACAACCCTGCGCCCGCCCCCCCCCCCAACCAACAACATCCACAGCTCACCCGTCGGGGTGGGCCACCAGGCGCGGCCCCACCGCGGATGTCATGGCGTTGCTGACCACCATCTTGTTGGCGATGCGGCGCGCCATGGCCACGCGGCGTTGGCACAGCGTGCTCATGCCCTCGGCGCCGTAGGCCGCCTCCTCCGCGGCGCGCCCCGCCAGCACCAGCAGCATCTGCTCCTCCAGGTAGCGCCGCGTGTACACGTGCGTCAGCTCCCGCTGCTCGCTGTTCTCCACCACGGTGTGGCCCAGGGGGTACGTTTCGCGCACCACGATCGTGGCCTTGGTCACGGGCTCGATGGCGGGCAGCAGCGTGGCCAGCACCGACGTGGCGCCCTCCACCAGCGCCAGGCGCCGCCGCGCCACGTCCGAGTAGGGGCTGCGCGTCGGGCCCAGCCGCTCCAGCTCCAGCGCCCGCTCCATGTCCTCCATGGTGATGACGGAGTGCGCCTGCGGCGGCGGGGGGGGAAGGGGGGGGGTGGATTCCGTTTGTGTGGAGGGGGGCCGATGGGGACGTGGGGATGCAGGTGCCCGTTTGAGAGTGGGTACGGTGCCACGGCAGGCCGGCCCCTCGTCCCACCCGCTGCCCGGCGGCGGTGGCGGCCATGTTGACCAGGTTGGCCAGGCGCGCGCCCGAGTAGTTGCGCGTCTCCAGGGACAGCGCGTGCAGGTCGATGCCCGCCGCGTCCCACTCCCGCCGGTCCAGGTGCACCCGCAGGATGTCGATGCGGCCGTGGAAGTCCGGGACGTCGACGTAGACGATGCGGTCGAAGCGGCCGGGGCGGATGAGCGCGGAGTCCAGCACGTCCTTGCGGTTGCTGGCGGCCATGACGATGACCTGGGCCTCGGTGGAGAAGCCGTCCATCTCCGTCAGCAGCTGGTTCAGGGTCTGGTCGCGCTCGTCGTTGCCCTGCGCGCCGCCGCGTGTGCGCCCCACGCTGTCGATCTCGTCCACGAACAGGATGGCGGGGGCCATGGAGCGCGCCGTTGAGAAGAGGTCGCGCACGCGCGCGGCGCCCACGCCCACAAACATCTCCACAAACTCCGAGGCGTTGATGGACAGGAAGGCCTCTCCCGCCTCGCCGGCCACCGCCCTGGCGGGTGGGTGTTGGAGGGCATGGGTTTGGAAGGGGGTGGGAGGGTGTGGCAGCCAGGTTACGGGAGGGATGGTGGAGAGGTAGGGGGGGTGGGGGTGGGGGTGGGGCTGGCACTGTAGATTCGCAAGAGCATGCGCACGTGGCAGGTAGGTGCTCGGCACCTACCCTCTCCAACCTGGTGTCGGCCCTTGCGCACCTGGCGAGCAGCGTCTTCCCTGTGCCGGGGGGTCCGCACAGCAGCACGCCACGCGGCACCTTGGACCCGGAGGCCTTGAATCGCGCGGGCCTCGTGAAGAAGTCCACCACCTCCTGCAGCTCAAACTGAGTGGGAGATGAAAGCGCAGGGTGAGGATTGAGGTGGCGGCTTTGATGATGTGGCTGCTCATCGGAGTGACGTTGCAGGACCTCTAAACCTTCCCACCCAGAGCGAGGCCCGCACACACAGTCCCACCTTGGCATCCCCAATCCCTGCCACATCGTCGAAGAAGATGGTCTCCTCGTCCGAGTACTGCAGCTTCACGCCACGAAGCTGCCGCTGCGCCTCCCGGATGCGGCGCTGGCGCTCGGGGTCCCTGCAGGTCCAGGCATGATCGATCGAACATCAACGATCCTGCTGCAGGTTTGGGGGTGGCTCATAGAGCGGCACCCGCACAAGTGTTCTGAGGGATGCGGCAATGATGCCCAGGCCCTCCACACCCAAGATCCTGCTGAACGAGGAATGGAACCTCACCATCCCTCCTGCTGCTTCACTCAACCATCCTCCCCTTCCCCCACCCACTGACATGGCACGCTTGATGCGCACTGTCTTCATCTTCAGCATCTCCTCAGCCTGAGCATTGGGGTCCTCGCTCTTCACGTCGGCGGCCAGCTTCTGGCGATACGCCTCCTCGTCCGCCAGCTGCGACTCGCCCTGCATTTCGTGGTTGACCCGGATCCTGATTCATCATTTCTGCAACAAGATGGGCAGAGCATCCTCCATGCAGCCCCATGCTTCAACACGCCATCACCTCACCTGGGCATTGTAGAATACGCCCTGGTCGTTCACACCCAGCTCCTCCTCTGGTGAGGCGGAGGGCTCCTCTGCATCCTCTTCTGTGATGCCGGCCCTAGCTAGCACCTTGAGGATCTGTTGTGGCAAGGAAACAAAAACAGGAAGGGTATGATTAGGTTTCTTTGTAGAGTTAGGCGCCCAAATCTCAACAGCTTAACATCTGACCAACAACTTGAAGACCAAGTCATGGTGCATGCCTTAAGTTAGAGACCTCCCACAACCAATACCTCTGGCCACCTACCTCTTTCCTGCTGACGTCCATGGCAGCTTCCTTGAACCGCTTCTCCATGTCCGTGGCCGACCGCCCCTGTTGATGGATAATGAGAATGATTGCAATTTGAGTAATTGTCACTGACACAGTACTGCCCCGCGCTGCAACCTCTCCTTGGGCCATAAAGTACGCGCTTGTTAATATCAGCACCCTCACCATGCCATGCTGCTTCAGGATCTCGCCCTCCATGTCGTCCATGAGCGTCTGGCGCTCCCGCTCCCGCCTGTCCTGCTTCGCCTTCTCGCGCAGCTTCTCGCGATCGTCCGCGTCTCCCTGCACAGAGGAACAAGGGGTAGGTTTTGGGTTTAGTACCCCTCAAGGTGAGGAGGTGTGGAAAGCTGGGCCCATTCTCCCCGCACATGAGCATCCAGACGACCCGCCCTGACGCCTGGCACCCCTGATGTCCTCCCAGGCCTGGTAAGCAATGAAAGATGGGGGGAACAACCCATCAGTACCCCTCCTCTCCCTCCTCTCCTCCCTCCCCAATCCTCACCTGCCGCTGGCGCATGATGTAGGTTCCCAGGTACACCAGGCCGATGGCGGCCAGCCCAAACCAGCTGCTGAAGGTGCGGATGAATCGGGGATCAAACCCCTGGCGGGGGTTAATCTCGGTGGGCAGCGGCACCACGCCCACTTTGCTGGCGGTGACGCCATGGGTCTCCATGGCATAGGCAACCCTGCATGGTGGTGGATGTGCGTGTGGGAGGTGCTGGGACATTATCGTCGGAGACAGGGATCATTATCGATGTGGCGAGAGAGGCGGGTCAGAGAATTCGTGGCCGGTACCCAGCACCAGCATTCCTCTCCCAATTCCCGTGAGCTTGCTTTGTGAATGCAAGCCCCAGCCAACCCTCTCCTCCCTCTCTCCATCCCTCCCCCTCACCTCATGTCATCCTGGTCGATGGTAGCCTCGCCCACAGTACCATTGCGGTACACCACCAGGCACTTCCCAGGCAGAGCCAGCACATTTCGGCCCATCTGGAAGAACTTGACCTCCTCCACCCTGTCCATCCGGATATCCTCCAGGAGCTGGGGGTAGGCGACCACCTTGGTGATCTTGGGCACCTCCCACTTGGCGTCCATGGCGACCTGGGGGGCGGCCTGCGGCGAGGAGGCCTGTCGCACCGCGGCAGTCGAAGCCTTGCCTGCGCTCGCTCGGGCCTTGATGGAAGTCGCCTTCAGCAGGTGGGAGGTGGGAGGGGCCGCGGCCTGGACTGCGGTGGCCGCCCCGGACTGCTGCGGCCCTGATCCCTTGCTGACGGAGCCTGTGGCTGCATCCTTTGCAACAGCCTTCTTTGCAGAGGGTTTCCCATTCTTCCCAGCCTTCTTGTCGTTGGATTTGCTGGGTCCGGGGTCACCAGAACCAGTAGATCGCTTGGCCTGCACTTGCAGGGGTCCATGGAGAACTATGGAGGCCTGTGTGCACATCTTCCTGGCGGCGATTCACCATGTCTCCAGCCTTCACCTCCGCACCTGGGCTGCAATGTGCTTCCGCGAAAAGGGAGACCGGCTCCCAGCAAGGAAAACACCCTTGGGAACCTGAGCAGGGATGGCGTATGAGGCCTCGAGTGAGCAGAATGCGCGCATGAACCCCCCTCCGTGAGTTTAAACACATCGCATCCAAGCATTGCCCGCCACAGCATACTTGTTGCAAGGAGCCCAGGCATGTATTGGGGACACCCGTGGGAGTCGGGCTCATGCCTGCTGCCGTCGCCCAGACGCCTCAACACCCCGGTACAGTATTCCAAGGATATATCAACGATTCCGATACATCACGCAAGCGTCTCTGGCCTGGGCTGCGTGCAAAGGTATGCATCTATGCATGAAAATTATCCTCGCCCGGTGGATCCAGAGCACGCCCAGCAGGGCCCCCCCCCCCTCGCGTGGAGCTCCCATCCCTGCTTGTGACCGTGAGTGCCATTCCGAAGGGACACCATCTATAAGATCGAAGATTGCCTGATGACAACGCCCGGTGGGGTAGTGTTCAAGCGGTGGCAGACCTGGGGCGCAATTGGCCTCATTACCTGGGCCGGAGCTCTGCAGGCATGTTCGGGGGGGGGGGTGTGGTGCGCCGACTCCTTGGAATCACCCTTGAGTAAGTCTTAACATTCAGAAACCCTCTCATGATTGCAGTACCACATGTGGCAACTCCAGAAAACAGCCGAGTTTCAGAGCGCCTTTCCCACTGAGGAGGCCCCCGTCCAAATGTCGCTGCGCCTGAGGAAGGGGGAATGACGGCCGGGACGGACCCCTACGCCGTCCTGGGGGTAGACCCCAGCGCCAGCCAGGAGGCTCTGCGCGCGGCGTTCCGCGCCGCGGTCCTCCGCCTGCACCCCGACAAGGCGGGGCCCGGCGAGGCCGCCGCCGCCGCCTACGCCGCGACGCAGGCGGCCTGGGAGACGCTTGGGGACCCCGCATGTCGGGCAGCCCACGACGCGTCCCGGGGCCTGGCGGCGGGCCGCAGGCACGTGCAGGTCCAGGTGCAGCTGCGCGCAGCAGAGATGGGGAGCGAAGAGTACGGCGGCGAGGCGTGCCTGGTTTACCCCTGCCGCTGCGGGGACCTCTTCCTGCTGCCCCTGTCCGATCTGGGGGCGCCGGGAGAGTTGGTGCTGGTCCCCTGCAGCTCCTGCTCCCTGTTTGCCCAGGTCCAGACCTGATGGCGGTGGGTGGCTGGCGTACTGGCGTGGTGGTAGACGCGCACTTGGTGCGCAGGCCAGCGGCCTCTGCGTTGTAATGGTTCCCTCCCCATCGACGACCCCAGTTGCTGGGGACCTGCAGCGATGTGCGTGCGGACATGATGTATGATGAAAGATTCACAGGGGTCTCTGTGAAATCTGTCCTTGGAGCACGCCATCCATCTTATTGTACAGGAAAATCGCATGGCGTATCGTGCTTTCAGAACCGGTGAACAGGAACCTCACAGTGATGGGCCTAGATGTGGGTATTCCATGCACCACAGAGCATGCGCAGCAGGGTCCCTCCACACATGCGAAAGTCTTCATGGCCTGGCCAGGCACACCGATGTCGATGGAAACAATCCACTGGTATACCAAAGTCTCATGTCATGTGGCCCTTCAAGGGCGAGAAGCCCCTGACAGAGGAACAGCAGGCTCGATTGCGACGTAAATGTGGCTTGATGGTGGTCACCCTCCGCAACTGCCTCGCTGCCAATAAGACGAGGCCAGGGACCTGCAATAATCTAGACACACAGGTGGGACAACATTCGAATATATAAAAGCATTGCTTCATTCTTCGACGCCTGGACGTGGAGCCGTAGTTGCGGTTCGACGACGACATGGAAGCGCCAGCCCCGTCGCCCCTCCAACCCCCACCCAGGTCGTACACTGTTACGCGGAGGTACTGGACCCCGCCCTGGCCGCTGCGCACGAGGATTGTTTCACCAAAGCGGTGAATAGCCGGCGCGACCCGCCCTACACCGCCTGCCAGGGCCAGGCCCAGGCCATGCGCAGCGCGCTGGCCAAGCGCAAGCTCTACCCCTTTGCCGACCGATGATGGGGCATCTGGGATGGGCAGCCGGCAGAACAATTTCCTATTTATTTGCAGTCCCATGTAAAAATTGACGCACGATCATACGGGGTGTAGAAGGGCAGACGGCCTCACTCCAGGGTGTACCCCCCCTGCTTGCGCTTCTGTGCCGGGCCGGGGCCGCCTGCATGCTTAGGCGCGCTGCCCTTGGCTGCGTGCCCGGCGTCCTTGCCCCCTCGCGCCTTGCCCGTGTGCCCTTGCTGCCGGGGAACTGCGTGCTGCCGCTCCTGTTTCCTCTTCGTCGACGCCACCAGGCTCGGACGCTCCCTGCACCGCGCAGTGATAGAGGAGTGTGAGCGCCGCTGGCTGCCTCACGCAAAGGCTGGGTCAAGACCCAGCACGACATCTGCCCATCTGCCGAAGAGCAC